CATTGGCAAACTATTTAGGTTTAATTGTTTTAATCCGTCCACGAGCACAACGGCATCTGCAATCCCTCGCTCTACCCCTTGCTATCGCGTGAAGGGTCTGTTTTATGCGCTCCGCACAGTAACCCTGCTGCGTGCTCACTAGCACACCTCCCCCCCGTTCATAAAGTCAAGTACCCCTCAAAAGGTCCGGTTTATTTCATTTTAAGGATGCGCACCAAGCAACATCTCCAGGTGCTCCTTTGAGAACCAGGGCAAAAAAGTTATGTGCAACCCTATCTATATATATTTATACACATTCTCCCTCTGTCGACCTGGCCACTAAGGATGTAATATAATGTGGACCGCTGGTGGACATTTTGGCGATGTTCTGAGTTGTGTTCTAATCTGTCAAAATGACGGACTGCTTTCAGATTTTTCCGTCATTCTTGGAAAAATTCCGTCAGAGACGAAAAATATTCGGTTAACGCGACCTCTGAATGATATTAAACGATTCTATTCTATTCTATTGTGGCATTGTATAGTTTTTGTTATCTTAGCCACAATTGGCGCGAGAGTATTTTACATGAATCAGTTAACATTCTTTCAAAATGAAGATGCTTCTGGCATGTTCTCAATCAGTCACTTTCTTTGACTACTAAAGTAACTCTTTAGAAGGCCTGAGAAAGCAGTAAGGTGTAAGATGCTAGATAAAGTTTGCAGGATACCTGACGGGTCCGAAGCTGAAGGTCATGAAGAGCAGGACGGCCATCACACACACGGCTCGCTTGTTGCTCGCTGAGTCACTGCCCTGAAAAACACATGTTGCATGTAAACAACTACTGAATATTCACACAGTTATTTTTTTATTTAAAAAATATAAATCACCCATTTCTCGTGGGAAATGTGGTATAAGCAGTGAGATAGGTTAGAGGATGGCGAGGTTAAACCTGATACATGTTTTTTAACATTATACTGTCCTTTGATAATGTGAAGAAAATACTGGAATTTTAATTTAAAAGGGAACAGAAGGCCATCATTTCAGCCCCGTTTGTTAACCCTTTTCCACAAAGGTGGATCGGGTCCCCGATTTGAAACCAGTTTTTCATGTTTCCACTGCAGCCAGTCCGGCCCTCGGTTCAAATTCTGGTTACACTACAGCACGGAAAACAGAGAACCACATTTTATGCAGGCTGGGGCGGGATTATCATGAACAACAACAGCTCAAGAAGAAAGTTGTTGAAGAATGTGCCGAGATCAAAAAGCAGCCAAGTAGCATTCTAATAGCCACACCAACCTGGAAAAGAATAAACATTTGACTAAATTGTGTTTGCAATCTCAATCTGGCTTCGTAACAGAAGAGCAACATGTGCACAGTCTGCCATTGTTGTTGTTGTCCTAAACAGTGATGTCATGATGTGGCTTCTATTGTAGGTGGTCTTAGTGACTGCTTGGTTTACACTTTCACCAGAAACCTTAGAGAATCTTTACTTCTGCTGTTCTCTTTCCTTTTGGTATCAGCCTGTTAAGGTTTGTGGATGAAAACAAGATATGAACGTAAAAGGCCTGTAAAGTTTGTAAACACCTTCATTTCCACATACAAATCTTCCTAATGAACTGTTGCCGTTGTCATGACTACTACTACTAACCTACAATAACTACTTTCACCTAGAGTGTGGAAAGGACATGGCGCTGTAATTGAGTTTTGCCGCGGTTATTCTCCCTCTCCCCTACCTCCTTCCCGGCCAGCCTCTCCCTCAGCGCCTGGTTCTCTCTGCGCAGACGCTCGTTCTCCTGCTGGGCCTCCCTCAGTTGAGCCTCCAGGGTCTGCAGGTACTCCTTCTTCTTCTTCCTCGACTGGCACGCAGACTCCCGGTTCTTTATCATCCTCTGCTGCCGCTTCAGCACCTTCATCTGCAGGAAGAAGAAGAAGAAGAAGAAGAAGAAGAGGAGGAGGAGGAGGAGGAGGGTTAGGAAGACATGGGCAAACAGGGGGAGAAGGAAACATAAGAAAAAGGAGGAAGGAACAGAAATAGCTCAGAAGAGGGAAGGGTTTTAAGAAAAGGAGGAGGAGGGAGGAAGAAGGGATAAGGAGGAGGAAGTGAAAGAAAGGAGGAGGGAAGATTATCAGGATGTTGAAATAGAGGAAGAAAAGAGAGGAACACAAATAGAGCAAAGGTTTAACACCCTGAGGTTACCAAGTCAACATATATCAGTTCATGTGAGAGGTGTCAGGTGAAACACTCAGGCCTTCAGTGGGATGTTACTAACCCTTCTCCACTGCGTTCTCTCTAAATCATTTACCTGACACACACACAAAAGATCCCATCTCTTACATGTTGCTTTAGCTACAGTGAATGCACTTAAAGCAGCCAGGTAAGATATCAGAATAATACATTTGATTTAAGGCGCCTTTCGTGTATGCCAACATTGATTCAGGCTCAAATGCATTTGGTATTTCTGTCATGACTGGGGCTAAATACTTCTGATGAAACAAATGCCATGAGTGTGTTCTTCCTGTGGGCAAGATGGTGCAGGGTTTATCCCTCAATTAAAAGAAGACATAAATAAGTTTTACATTTAACAGTGAGGTATTAATCATGTAAGTGGCATATCAGGGCTATTGTGGGTAAAAAAAGAAAATGATAGAGATCCAGGAAATGAGGTTAATATTCAAACAAAACAGTGTCTCGAGAAACCAGGTCAACTCATTTTAAGATATGCTTTGCAATTAGTATTTTGTTTTGAACATTCCAGTTCATTGTCCGCATTTCCTAGTTCAACTAGGCAATCTGCATACCTCTAGCTACCCAAACCATTGTACTTAGAAAAGCTTCAGCTCTTTCAGGATAATCAAACTTTACTTGTAAATTGTATGCTTTCTAAAATATATATTTTTTTTTTACAATATCACTCAATGGAGCAATGTGTGTGTGTGTGTGTGTGTGTGTGTGTGTGTGTGTGTGTGTGTGTGTGTGTGTGTGTGTGTGTGTGTGTGTGTGTGTGTACACATAAATATGGTTCACATATTATGGAATAATAATAAATAAAAAAATAAGCTCACTTGAATACAGGCAGGTTTCTTGTTGAGATTCAATGAAATATCCAGACAACTCACATCGATATCCATGCAGTTGTTGCCAGGTAACGTTGTCGTTGCCGGAACTATGGGTTTGCTGCAGGGCAGGGCTGTGGGGCTTGGGCAGTGCTGCTGGATGCCGGGGGACACAGGCTCCATTTTGACGATGGCCGGGGTGGAACCGAGGCAGACAGACTGAGACAAGACGACTGGAGGAGGGAAGAGGGGGGGGGGATTTGAGCATCTGAGATTTGTTTGAAGGGAAGTTATTCAGTAAAACCCAAGCTCTGCTAAATGCCTCCATAACGTAAAGCATTCATCTGTCTGCACTAGTTATCAATACAATAAATATTATTTTATTTTATTGTATATGTCATTTGACATTCTGTTCTTGTGCATCTTATTCTATTTACATGAATATAGACTCCTGCATTTACTTGGTCACTTTACAAAACTTTCTGCATCATTTAGCTTAATGTATTTATTTTTCTGACATGTATATAGTTTACTTCATCTTCATTACTTGCTTTCAAATGAATTTGAATAAAACACAAAGACTGTTACCAGGTCTGTTCTGGTCCATGGAGGGGAGGCCCTGCAGGATGAGGGCCTTGGGGGCTGCGGGGGGCTGGGTGACGGGGAGGCTGGAAACACACACCGGTCTGGGCTGGATGGGAGGTTTGGTGCTCAGGATGGAGCTGGCCTTTAACGTGGCTGGACCCGGTAGAACTTGAGGAGACAGAAAAAAAATAACCCTTAAAACAAACGCGATCTTGCTAAGCGGTGCTACGACTCTGGTTATCAACTCGGTAACTCTAGCCAGGGTTTCTCTGTCCGGCTGAGTGCGCGTTCACATGAAAGGGGCGGGGTTAGCAACATTTGACCAACCACAAACATGGACAAGCGTACTGACACCGCAGCGTCATACACTTCCTGAATGAAAAGTGAACTATAACATTAGAGAATTATGAAGACGTTAAACTTTAAACATCCATGACTTAAACACATTATCCAGGATAAAAGCCACATAGTTGCACCTGCAAGGTGAATACAGCTGGTAACAGAAAAAGTGTTTGAATGCGTACATTAACGTACGTTATTCGCCCCATGAGCCAGGAATTTCTTGGAGCATTTTCGTCGACGATAAGGACAATGTCCCCGGTTGCAAAATTGCTAATTTTCCTGTTCCAATTTGACCTTATTTGGAGTTCCGGGAGGTATTCTTTTTCCATCGCTTCCAAAATAAGTTGGCCATGTACTGAATTTGGCGCCATCTTCTCTTCCAGTGGCAGTCGCTCGGATTAAAAGACACCAGGCGGAAGAAACGGTTTTGATTTGAGAAGCAAAAGGTGATTTGGAGTGAGGGGCTCTAAATCTCCTGGGTCGTTGGAAACAGTCGTTATTGGTCGTTCATTTATGATCGCCTCCACTTTGCAGAAAAGTGTGGCAAATCCTTCCTCGTCAAGCTTCTGTTCTTGCGTGAGGGCACTGAGAATGCGTCTGACGGTTCTGATTTGTCTTTCCCAGATTCCTCTATGGTGGGAGCCTGCTGGTGGGTTAAATATCCACTTTATTTCCTCTTTAAGAAGCTTGTTCTGAATTTGTGTTTGGTTTAACTCTTGTATTGCTTCTTTTAGTTCACATTGAGCTCTAACCAAGTTGGTTCCGTTGTCTGACCTCATGACCTTGATAGGGCCTCTTCTTGCAATGAATCTCCTGATGGCATTAATGCAAGAGTCAGAGTTGAGACTGTGTGCAAGTTCAAGGTGAACTGCTCTGATGTTTTGACAGGTAAAAAATACACCGTATCT